GGGTGTCTCACTCTTCCCTTCACCCCCAGTGTTCATAGCAGCCCTCCTCTCTTCCTGAGCGGTGCCCAGAGGCTAAGGCCTTTTGGGTTCAAATCTCCAGAATAACCTTTGGCCGGGGTCAGCAGGGGGTAGATGCCTCCAGACGCCTGTTCTGCTGCCTTGTGGAGGGCATCTGAGGAAGCAATTGCTCCTTCCACAAACTTTCTGCCCGTCCTCTAATATTTCTACCTGCACCCCAGCCTTCAGGGCATCTTCCGCACCCACCTCCTGAGCCTCCTGAGGCAGGAATGGGCTTGGTGAGTGCGCCAACTTCCATGTCTTCCTGCTCCTTGAAAGCATTTAAGTCCCAGCTTTCTGCACTCTGATCTGACGGCTACCACTTGTCCACCTGCCTCCTGTTTCCTAGAATTTTATTAGAAGCTCTAATCTGCCGTCTTCCCTCTCTTTGCCTCTGTGGATACGTAGCTTTTAGAGTGCATTTATGGCCCAGCCGGGCGTGGCTCAGTGGTTGAGCATCGACCTAGGATCCAGGCGATCAAGGTTCGATTCCCCGTCAGGGCACATGCCCGGGTTGCGGGCTCGATCAATGACTCTCTCATCATTGGTGTTTCTGTCTCTCTCTCTCCCTCTCCTGTCCTCTCTCTGAAATCAATAAAGATATATTTAAAATAAATAAATAAATAAAAGTGCATTTATGGCCATTGCAGTGGGATTTTGAAGAGCAGCAGAGATAAGTACAAGTTTTCCGTCTGTGTCCCTCCGAAAGCCCTATCCCCCATCCACTCAGCTGTCCCCAGGCACCTGCTGAGCACCTGGCGCTGGCCGGCCCGCGGGCTGCAGAGATGAATGGGAGCCTCGCTGTCCACCCAGACCTGGTAGCCTTGGAGGCCGCTGCCAAGGCCAGCATCTTCACGGCCTTAGCTGACACTCCTCCTGTCCCCTGAAGAATGGTCTCCCCCTTGAGGTTCACTCTGGTAGAGCAGCCTCCATGGAAGGTTACAGGAACCATTTTTTTAAATTTAAATCCTCACCGAGGATATTTTTCAATTGCTTTTTTAGATAGAATGGAAGGGAGGTGGGAGAAACATCGATGTGAGAGAGACACAGCAATTGGTTGCCTCCTGCACTCAGGGAATTGAACCTGACAAGCCATCAAACCCTGATCCTTTGGTCCAGGGGCCGACACTCTAACCACTGAGCCAAACCAGCCAGGGCTCCAGGAACCTTTTAAAGAAGCTGGCCTAGGTCTCACGTGGGTGTGGGTGGGATGGTCCCAAGAGGCAGAATAGCTGGTGCTCAGGGTTCTGTCGTGTTTCTGTGGAGGAGGCGAGTGGGCCGGCAGGCAGCCTTGATACAGAATCGTCAGGCCTGGGTTTGCGGCCCCTCCAGTCTCTTCCTGGCCTGGCTTCCACTTCTGGCACCTGCCCTGCACTGCCCACCCCCTACACACACACACACACACACACACGTTCCTCTCCTTGGCATCATTCTGCCAAGTGGATCCTCTCACTCTGGCATGGCATCTGTCCCAGGAGGGATTCCTGCAGACAAAACAGCCCGGGGAAGCCACGAGGCTCTCTTTGTGTCCACTCTGTGTACTCACCTCTCCTGAAGGCTGTGGTATGAATCCTAGTCCTCCCTGACTTGGCGCCCAGGTCTTTGGGGGGAGACTGGAGAGTGGGACTGAGAGGGGCCACTGAGGAGGGGGAAGCTGGTAATACCTGGCAGATGCCACATGAGGCAGGGACAGAGGAACAGCCCACCCAGTCTCCTGTGGTTTGCAGGGAGCTCTTTGGAAACACCTTCATCAAGAAGGGAGATACTTCCCTAGGTGTCCAGGGTCTTGCTTCTGGTGGTTCATACGTATCCTGAGCTGCTGAAAGGGGGTGTTCACCTGAGGAAGGGCTGCTGGGTGAGCAGTGTCTCGGGGCACAGATCCCCACCACTCTGGGCTCCTTTCTTTGCCCAGGCAGTGGGCACAACTTGTGGATGCAGACGTTGGGTTGTCCTGATGGTTGGAAGGTGATGACTGTCCCTCCCTGACAGAGCTGGGCCATGTCTCTGAGCTGACCCCCAGGCCCTGGTCCTTCCTTCTGTCCAGTTCCAATGGAATCCTTCTAGGAGCAACAGCCTGGCGTTCTTCACACAAAATTGCATGAGAACCACCATCATCCTGATGCCTCCATTCTCAGACTGACTCTGAGCTTGTTTTTGTTTAAGTAAAAAGGAGATTCTTTTTCAAATATAGCCAGAATTGTGGAGAGAGATATTCGTTATTGTCATGAGTTCAGCAGCTCAACAATGATGATTGACGTCTCTGGTTTTCTTGGCCTTTCCCTCTGCTTATAACCTCACGGTCCCAAGAAGGCTGCTACCTTCCAGGTATCACATTCACATTCAAGGCCAAAGTACGGGAAGTGCAGGACCAGCTGCATCGTTTATCACTTTTTATCAAGAAAGCAAAGTTTCCCCAGAAAACCACGGCAGAACTTCACTTACATTTCTTTGTCCAGAACCATATCATGTGGCCACTATTAACTGCAAGAGAGGCTAAGAAAACCATTCTCTTTTCCAGCTTCTTTTAGGAGAGGCAGGCAAGGAGGTGGGGAGGCAGGAATGCAGTTAGATCTAGTAAGGTTTTAATGGAGGCCTCTACCTTCTCCAGAGCCTGACCATAGGTGGATGTCTGTCACCACACACAGTCCAGGGCCATGGTTAATGGGACTAAAGGGACAAGAGACATGGTTGGCTGTTATCCAGGGACACTGCTGTGCCTGAGATGCACTAGAACTACACCTAGAGTCTAAAGTCCACAGCATGCCACCACAGTAATAGATAAGAAATAATACGGTGATAGCTAACATGGGGCACTCAGTCTTTGCCAGACCTGCTCTAAATGTTTTTTATATATTAATTTTAATTCATTTAATCCTCTTAATAGCCTTATGAGGTAGGCACGATTATCACCATTTTAAGAATGAAACTGAGGCCCAGGGAGGTTAAGATACTTGCTCAAGCTCACCCAGCAAGTAAATACGAGCAAGAAATAAAGTTGGGGTGTTTTAAGCCATTGAGGTTTTAGAGTGGTTAGATACTACAGCATAACCTGGCCAAGTCTGAGATATATATGTATGTACTCTGATACCTAATATGTTATATATAATATAGATTATATAACATTTATATAAACTAATTTATATGTAAATCTATTTATGTCATTATATAGTTATATCATACAATTTATGTACATATAGGTACATTTACATACATACACATGCATATAAAAATCTTCCTTAGTGTTCACTCTGAAGAACCAGTGCTTTGTGGCCTGCAGTACAGAATCCTCTCCTTGCAGTGTGGGAGGGTTCAGGTACTCAGCTGAGGTTCCCTACAGGAGCTCAGCAAGCCTCGTGCTGCTAGAAAGACTCGTGACGTTTTGTGCAGTATTTAAAATTGCAGTCTTTGTATCAGTCAGGAGAGGGTAGATTAGCTGCAGTAACAAATTACCCCCCAAAAGCACCCCTTCCTCAAGTACAAAAGACACCTTTGTTCTAGTGTATCAGTGCACAACCTGGGCGAGATCCAAGCGCCTCCTGGGAAAGCAGAAGTGTGGATGCTGGTTCCCTCTGGTTGAGGTAGGGGACAGGCATGGCCCACCTGTAAAGGAGGGAGGGAAACTGGGAAGGGGCAGAGTGGAGTGAGTGCTGGCTCTGGACTTTCCCAGCAGCATCCAGTTTATTTATTTATTTATTAAAAATATATCTTTACTGATTTCAGAGAGAGGAAAGGAGAGGGAGAGAGAGAGATAGAAACATCAATGATGAGAGAGTCACTGATCAGCTGTAGCCCGCAACCGGGGCATGTGCCCTGACCGGGAATCGAACCCTGATCGCCTGGATCCCAGGCCGATGCTCAACCGCTGAGCCACGCCCGGCCAAGCACAGCATCCAGTTTAAACCCACCTGGGAGCTGGCTCCTTAAATGAACCAATGTTAAAGTCTCTGGCCAGAGAACATCCCACTAGGGGTCAGGAAAAGCTGCTGCTGCATAAAGGGGCCCTAGGCTTGGCCTGGGAGCTTCCCAGGACCGGCAGGTAGCAGCTCACCAATGCATGTGTGTGCCAGATTCACACATACACACACACAGGCCACTGGGCACACATTCAATGTCGCCTAGTCCCATGCCCTGGGAGGCGATGGTGTCAGGTTCAGAGTAAGATGCAGAGCTGAATTCAAGCCTCCCGGGCTGGGGAAGCTGCAGCCTCCAGGAATCTGAGAGAGTGGTAGGAACAGGACCTGGGAGCGTGTGTGCGTGGCTCACATATGCGTGTGCAGGACACTGTGGGAGGGGGTTCCCACTGGCTGCTTTGGACTTGTCCTGGAAGCCCACACTCTCTGCATCCCCCATGTGCTCTCCTATGCTAGCTCTCGGCAGGGGGTTGGAGCCCCCATGGCGATGGCCGGTGCAGTGCACAGCCCGGGAAGAGGAGAAGAGGAACCAGCCCCATTCCCGTGAGCCTCCCTCCGGTGTCTGAGGGAGGCGCCCCCTCAACTGGACCAGAGGGAGAGGGGCCAGAGGACCGGGACAGCGCTGGCTGGCCACCCACCCTGTCCTGGTAAGGGGATAAAGAGACTGCCAACTGGGCAAGAAAATCCTCTCACCCATGCTCAAGGCTGTAATCCTGGGCCTCCGCTCCTCTGAGGTTTGTTCTATTTTCATTCCTCTTGCCAGGAGCGGCCTCATTGGCTGCAAGGATTTAGTGGGGACTTGGAACGGGTTCTCTGGAGCCCCCTGGATTCGGGTGCAGGCTTGCTCAGCCCTCATTACCTTCTGCCTCCTGCTCGCCTCCTCCCGACTGTCCCTTGCACCCGCATCAGCTCCTTCCTTGCTCGGACCCGGAGCACTCAGGCCTGGGAGCCGGGAGGGCCCAGTTCCAGACAGCCAAGCGGCCCTTGCAGGGAGCAGTGGGCACAGGACTTGTCCACCTTGGGCGCCAGCCTCCCACAGGCCCGGACCATGGGCAACATGATGGAGGGGAAGTCGGTGGAAGAGCTGAGCAGCACCGAGTGCCACCAGTGGTACAAGAAGTTCATGACCGAGTGCCCCTCGGGCCAGCTCACCCTCTACGAGTTCCGCCAGTTCTTTGGCCTCAAGAACCTGAGCCCGTCGACCAGCCAGTATGTGGAGCGGATGTTTGAGACCTTTGACTTCAACAAGGTGAGCAGGGGCCTGGGTGCAGGGCGTCGGAGGGGTGCCTGGGGAGGCCAACCAGCGGGGGGGAGCAGATGTGCGAACAGCAGGCTCCGCTAAGGAGGGGCTTCATTTATCAGGGAGGTTGAATGTCCATGTTAGGGATGCGATTGATCTCGCCTTCATTGAGCACCTACTGAGAGTCAGGCGCTGGGGGTTCGGATTGACTGAGACCATCCCTGCCCTGGCTCTCCGGGGGAAGGCAGAGAGCTCAGCACTTAGTGTGCTCGCAGGCTGAACCGAATGGCTCCCTCTGCCTCTCCCACACGCATATCCTGATTTACTTCGGAACAAGTGCGAACACTTACAAGCCAGGCATTGAGCACCTACTAAGTGCTTTACGTTGTATGTGGTACTTTTGGGCAGGCCCTAGAGGCTCATGAGGATGCAGAGGGAGGGGTGGGGAGTAGAGAGCAGGGTGAGAAGGCCCCAGCCCCGGCTCATCTGGTATGGGCAGGCCCACGTTACTTGGGTCACCCATGAACACTAGACCTGGGGACAGATAGGGTTGCCTGGTCACTGGGGAATCCAGGCTACTTCAACTGAAAAATATCCAGTGACTTCAGTTTACCTTTTCTCAAATGGGTCCAAGGTCTGCACAGGGGTCAAATTGTATGTTTCCCTAAGGAATCACCTGGATGCATTGGGTGAAGATGCCCGGATAAGCCAGAGGGAACATTGACAAAGGAATTAGGCACCGTGCGTCTGGGGCCCTAGTTTTCGTCAGCTAGGTGACCTTGAACCCATTCTCTGCCCCTCAGCGTGGGCTTATGCACCTGCGTCTGCCATGAATGTTGGAGCATTAGTTAAGATGTTTGTTGGTTTTCAATAGCAAATCTTCCATTTATTTGGAGCAATTCAGTCACGCGGTAGTGGTGAGCCCTAGCCAGTTTGCTTAGTGGTTAGAGCGTCGGCCTGCAGACTGAAGGGTCCAGGGTTTGATTCCAGCCAAGGACAAGTACCTCGGTTGCAGGCTCAATCCTGGCCCCAGTAGGGAGGAACCAAACGATGTGTCTCTCTCACATCGATGTTTCTCTCTCTCTCTCTGAAAAGCAATGGAAAAAATATCCTCGGGTAAGGATTTAAAAAAAAAAAAGAGGTAGTGGTGGAAGAACCCACAGCTCGTTTCCCCACCCTGGCTGGTCCCCACCCTGCTGGCGCTCACTGGAAAGGTGAGATGTGAGGATGCCCTGCCATGTGTCTTTGCAAGACAGGGAGAGGCTGCCCAGAGCTTTCCCAGCTCCCCACACCGCCCAGAGGGCCAAACACCATTGTAGGTAGGGCTTCTAAGGAAAGCTGGGGCTCAGAGGCTATTTAAAACTCGCTACTATTTAGGGTCAAGGGGCCAAAGCAGATTATGGACTTTAAATCCCAGCCTCAAGGGCAGCATCGTGGTGCCCAAGGGATTTCCTGAAGGGGGCGCAAGGGAGCAGAGTACTGGAGCCCAAGAGGGATGGCGTCAGGACCCTAGGCCTCTCAAATTTTCTAGAAGCAGCAATTATTCCTGAGCAGAAGGGGAAAAGCCTCAATACCTTACCCCAAATGCACCAAAATAGCTCAGCTTCTCACCTACTAAGGAAACTCTTTCAGGTCAAGAGTTGTCTCCAAAAAGGCCCTCTAAAATCCCACATATGACACCAGGGAGGGGCAACCACCAATCTTGTATTTGCCTAACCCGAGTCGTTCATATGCCATCTCTTCAATTTTCATCACATGCAAGCATCACCTGGTCTGTTCCAAACCTGACTTCCTCAATTATGCTATGCGCACCCCTGCCTTAAGGCTTAGGTGCTGCTTGGGACCCTCTTCCTCCAGAATTCTGCTTGGCTCACACTTTCCCCTGCTACAAGTCTCTGCTCAAATATCTCCTTCCCATGACATCTGCCCTGATCTCCTGCTTTAAACCCTATTTTACTGGGAGTAGCCCCTAACCCTGCATTTCCTAGTCCCACCCCCAGAGCATGTCTTATCTTCTAATACATGATATTGAATAACATTTAGCCACTATTTTATGTCTGTCTCCCCTGCTGGAATATGAACTCCATGAGGGCAGGGGTTGTTATCTTGACCATTGCTGTATCTTCAGCACCAAAAACAGTGCCTGGAACACAGTAGGTGCTTAATAGAGATTTGTTATATGAGTGAATGAATATATGAGAAATCATGAGTTTGTGGGCCAGTTCTATAATAACATTAATTTAAAAACNTGCCTGGAACACAGTAGGTGCTTAATAGAGATTTGTTATATGAGTGAATGAATATATGAGAAATCATGAGTTTGTGGGCCAGTTCTATATTTCATAATAATATTAATTTAAAAACATATTTATTTAAGTGAAAAGCATCTTTGTAACATCTAAAGTGCCTCATGGACACCCCCAAGGGTCTAAATCACCCTTGGGGCCCCATTGCCTCTACCCATTGTCCTGAGTACAGAGCAGTTTAGCAGACTGGCTAGGAAATTTGATACAGAGGGGAATTAGGACTGGGTGTGCAAACAATGGCTTGTGGGCCTATTGCTATAAATGAACACGCCACACCCATGCAGTTACATTTTGTCAAGACTGAAATATTTGCCATCTGGTCCTTTACAGAAAGTGTCTGCCACCCCTGAATTAAAAAAGGGTTGTATCCTAGAGTGCTGTGCTGGGTGGGCAGGGTTGGGGGTACAGTAGTGTGAGTGAGAGTGTGGCCTGGGGGACAAGCATATGTTTCAAAGTTTCAGAGTTTTGCGTGGGCTTGGCTGTGCCTGGCAGTCACACAGGTGCGCCCAAACCAGTGTGAATTTTCCATCCCTGCATCTGAGCACCTTGTAGGACTGAGGAGACCCAGTTTCTAGGCAAGGATTTGTCATTCATTAGTTGTCTGGCCTACCCTCTCTCACTTTCAGCTTTCTCAGCTGAAAATGGGGACAAAATCACCCACCTTCTGGGAGTGGCTGTGAGATTAAATGAGTAAAATGAATGAAACCCTCAGCACGGAGGCACTAAAAAGAACTTAGCATAGTTGTAGTGTTATCACTGAATCTCATCCATGCCACAGTCTTGAAGAGTACATACTGTCATTCCTGTCTTAGAGCTGAGGGCACTGCCTCAAAGAGGCCAGGTGACTTGTCCAAGGTCATCCCTCTCCTAAGACGTGGGTTAGGTCTTTTTGGAACAAAAGCTTATATATCTCCATTGTCCCTTATAAGCCATTAAAAAACCCCACAGGTTACAAAAGTAAAACAGCGCATTGTAAAATTTCCAACAATATAGAAAGATAAAAATGAAAAGCAAAAGCATCCACAGCCCGAGTCCCCCAGAGGAAACCTCTTAGCCTCACAGTGCTTAAGGCCTCACCTAAGGCTAAAGGCCAGCAAAGAACCAGATCTCAGAGGCCACCCAGCGCAACTTCTGCCACATCCCCAATAACAGTGCTGTAGCTTCTGCTTGCACATTTCCAATGATGGAGAGCTCATTACTGAATGAGGCTGGCCCTTCCACCATGGGCAACTTGGCCTGTTAAAGAGTTCTTCGTGCTGACCCTAAATCTGCTTCCCGGCAGCTTCCTGGTTCCAGAGTCATAGTTGAGAGTAAGTGTGGGAATATGGGCTGGATTCCAAGTTCATGTGCTCTTACCCAGCGCTCCTTCCCTTACAGGGCTCAGCCTGTCTGCACGACACAGGCTTCCCTCTCCCAGCTTCACGCAGTTTGGGGGGAGGTAGGCAGAGACTCCCTTGGTAGGACCGGCAGGGTTGGGCAGATGGTCAGCTGGTGGACACTCAGGGAACCCTGGAGAAATGTCCTGTAGGAATGTCTGTGCCACCCCCACCATGGCCAACCCCTCCAAGGCTCAGTGAGGACACCACCTCTCCCAGGAAGCCACCCTAAGCCCCCCGCCTGCCCTCATCCCAGCAGAGTTGGATGCTCCCATCCTGGGACCCCGTAATGTCCTGTCGGGATGTGTCGTTGCTGGATACACATCATGAGAGCATAGTGATCTCCTTATACTAATGGTAATAATCACAGCTAACATGTATTGAGCACTTACTATATGCAGGCAGTGTTGCGTGCTGTACATTCATGAACTCATAGAGACAGGCACCATTGTGATGATTACAGATGAAAAAATTGAGGGCTGCAGACATCTTGCGCCCTTTGTCCCAGATCTCGTGGCTGTGAAAGGGCAAAGCCAGGATTCAAACCTGCACCCTCACCAGTGCATTCCCTTTAGGACCAGGCTCCTGACTTGCTGAGCTCCCAGGCCTCAGTCTGCCAGGGCACCAAGTGGCTGCCGGTATGAAGAATAAGGAAAAGACCGAGAGAGGCGCTCCTTGTCCCCACATCTACCTCCTGCCCTCACCCCAGCTGGGAAAAGCTCATCTAACCCCCTCCCATCCTTCCCCCCGGAATTCATGTCTCTTCTCCCACCAACAAGCAATGAAAAGGGCTCAGTTTTAGAAGCACAGGGAAGCAGCTGCAGCCCAAATGCCCGCGCCGAGACCGCGCCAGCCACTCAGCGCAGGGGGGATTAGCTTGTGGATGTGATCGCAGCTCTGGGGGGCAGCGCGGCTCTGCGGCCTCCGGGACAGATGGGGGGGCACCAAGGGG